CCCAAGCTGAACAGAGGCTGGGCCCTCACCCGTCTCTTTTAGCTGTTAGGAATTGAGAAAGGGTCCAACCAGCCCAGGGCTTGGTCAAAACGACAGCCCCTGGCTATATGGCTGCATGTGACAAGTCAAGTCCCCTTCCCCCTATCTCCCAAGCCTGAGTCCCTTTATTCACACGGGTCACACTGACTCAGACAGGTACTATTTGTAGGCAATGTAGACAGCAGGGGGAGCACCAGACCTGGGCCTCCTCTGAGCCATGATGCCAAAGGTTGCCACTGGACTCTTGGTAATTCTTGGTTGCCCTTAGGTTCTCTTCTGCATTCCACGCTTCTACCTTCTCCTCCCCCTCAGACCCACTCTATCACGTGGTGCTTTGGTGAGTGGAGCCCCAGCAGTCCTGACTTTTCTAGCAATCAGGTGCTTGTGACTTACGAGTCAGGGTCCTGCCTCATGGGGTGGCCACTGGATTTTCTGCACTGGATCTCAAGAGTGTTGACCCAAGTGGACTTGGGGTATAGCCATGGGGGCCTAGCTTCATTTTTCCTTGTGTTTGTGACCTCAACAGGGCATGCTTCTTCCTCTGTACTCCCTCACCTACATCTAGGTGAGGTCCCCCAGGGATGGCTATGGCAGTAGTGAAGGAGGAGCATCAGAGATCCTTGGAGAAGGCAGCTGTCAATCACTGCAGTGAAACAGTTTGAGCTGGGGCAGCGTCTCCTCCCTCCAACCAGGCTTTTGATGTCTACTTCCTTCGTTCTCTCCTCTGGTCACTGCTCTGAGCAGATGAGGGACTGGACTCCAAGGACCTCATTCTGTCTGGAGCTCAGGAGGAAGTCTGTGGGGTGCTCTGCTAGTCGGACAATTTTTATAGCATAGCTGGGGGTGATCTCTTAGAGACTGTCTCCTACCCCCAGAAAGGTGCTGAGCAGCTCCCCAGAGGGGAGCTGGCCTAATGTTCACTCCTTTGAGGGTTTTCCAGGGACCTCCCACCTTCTTGCTCTTGAAGACCTCAGTGCAAAGAGGGGGCTGATCCTTTGATTCCCTATTCACCATCCAAGAGCCTCCTCATAGTTCTCTGCAGATAGTAGGTGCTGAACTAATGTTCTTGGGTTTGTAGACAGGTAGGGGATGTGGAATGCACACCTGGGGACAAACATGGGGTGGGTTTAGAAAGATCTCAGGAAAATGCATTTCTCTTCCCTCAGGGTGGCTACGATACTCGGGTCCTCCTTCCCCCATCTCCATTCCTCACCTTCTTACTGCCAGATTCAGATAGGACACAGCCTTCCATTTAAGCATGCTGCACCCAATGCCCTGTGCCTCCAGACTGGGTCCCAGAAAAGGTGACCCCCGCATCCCTTGCAAATGAACCAACCAACCCAGTGTCGCCTGGATGCTCCTGTGGCTGATGCAGCCCTTCTCCCTCACATCAGGAGGTAGGCCACTCTGAAGTGACCATGTGGTGGCCAAGATGATGGCATGAGCCTTCTGAACCCCAAATCCACTACTGGGACCATAGTGGAAAGAGCCCTGGTTTTTGTTCCCTTTCCTTTTGTTTTCTTTTGGGTTTTCTTCTTAATACCATCTCCATCCCATAAAATTATACTGTGAACTGGAAGATGGTGGAATCTTTTTAATTTGATGGAAACTTTGGGGCAGCCCGTTCTACTTGCCATTTCACTCCTGGTTCCGTTCAGGGAGCTGGGAGTCATTTTCCAGCAGGTCAGAGAGGCTTCCAGGGAGAAGAGTGCCTTGGTCACTCCTCTGCCTAGAGCGCTGCTGGGAGGGTTCAAGTACAAACACCTCTGGATTTAGGGAAGGTGGGCTTTATTCCAAAGGATTATCACAGGAGATGAGAACTTTTCCATACGGAGAGGAGGGTACCATGGCCACAGGGAGGATGCTCGGACCAACTGACTCCAAATCCACAAGCATCCCCTGGCCCTGGCAGAGAAGGCCTTTTCTTTTATTAGAAGGAGTGGACATGGCTAGAAAGAATAGTGTTCATGGGAGTCTCTGTCCCCGTCTTTTTGGGGAAGGACTGTTACAAACAGCCTGTGTCTGGCTTGGGCTGAGGGTAGGTGAAGGTCCAGGGTCTGGTGGGGAGGAGGGAGGCTTCACTCCAGTTTGGTCTGTCCATCAACGGCATGCTGTTTGTTCAGATAGAGAAGGATGTAAATCTTTTTAGAAGTTAAACTAGGCTCCTGACAGTTTTGAAACCTGGGAATGGTTTTCTCGGGGGCCTTGGAGCCATCTCTGAATGCAAACCTCAGGAAGACAGCCCCCTGGCTCCCTGGCTCTGTGGGACATTAGTCAAGTGGCACTACCTGCTTGCTGTAGGTTCCTTTCCTCCATGTTGACTTCTACCTGTAAGAGAAAAGCCCTTTCCTGCCCCAACTCTAAGCTTCTTGCAGATCTCAAAGTCTGAGTATTCTTTGCATTGCAATTTCCCCCTCCCCGATTGCAGTAACTCCTCCTCATCCTTCAATAATCCTTTTTAATAAAGCCTCCCCTTAGGTATGACCTAATTTCTTCTTAGTTGACAAAGGGTATGGAAGACTTGCATTTTAAAAATTGGGGACAAGTTTCAAAGCCAGTAATTGTGTTAAATATGTGTATAACAGCTCTGCAGGGCACCCACACAAGCCAAGGGAATGCCAACTGGAAAGGGGTCCCATCCCTAGGGAAGCCTGCTAAGGAGAAGTTCTGCAGAATCCAAGCCCAACTCCCCCAAAGCCACCCTCTGAACATCCCCTCGCACCACCCACTGTGTGTATGTATGCGTTAGGGATCCAGGGCAATGTGAATTTTCTTTTTATTTGGGAGATGCTTAATGGAAAAACAGATCTTCTTCTCTCTTATCCACCTATTAATTGTTTACAATATTTGTACATCTATGCAAAATACTTGAATGGGCCATGGTGCCTTTTTTTTTTTCCTTGTTTGTATTTAATTAAAACAAACTTTTTCATTTGGAATGTTATCTGGTTTGGCATCTCTTTTGTGTGTTTGTTTCAGTGTCTCACTGCTTGGACCAGATAGAATCCATGACATGAGCTCTCCTTAGAAAGACAAAGACCATCAGTCCAGCCTACAAGGCCATTAGGGTTGACCTTGAGCCCCAGCAAAGCCTGGGTTTCCCATGGCCGGGAGAGGGGACTCTTTTCCTTTGCACCCAGGCAGGAGCTGGTTTAGTTTAACTGGGTCTTGGGTCATTAAAGACCCGAATGATCTTGGGTTCTCTGGTTTACTTCTCCTATACTATGCCTTTAGAAGATGACTCATCTCATTGCTAAGGATGAAACTTTAGAGAGACACTTGCCCAAGGTCTCCTGGCTGGGTAGACAGGTGCAGCCAGGGCCATGCTGCGTGGGCTAATTCCAGAGCCCTATGTGATAATCCAGCTCACATCCAGTGCTTTCCAGTTCACAAAGGGGTCTGCCCTCACGCTCTCATTTGATCCCTACCTCAATCTTGAGTTTCTGCAACAGATGGAACAATGGTGTGCGGAGTCTTAGGACTTAACACATGCAAAATGCTGCACATTTTACATTTCTTTATCTCATTTAATTTTCACAGAAATCCTGAGAGAGGGTCCTTGATATCCGACTGTACTTTTCTAAGCTCTCATGGTTGTGAGGTCACCTAAGGACACTAAAGGCATCTAAACACAAATGCTTTCATGACTGTAACACTCAGGCTTGTGAAATGAATCCCTATGCAGACACCTCTGCCTGTTTTATAGGACACTGTCCACTCTTTTGGCCAGTCCTCTGGGTTGATATCATCTGTTGGTTAACAGAATAATACTTGGATGTACTGACCTGAGTTCAAATCCTGGCTCTGCCACTTACAAGAAGTATGAGTCAAGATTAAGTGTCAGAATTCTGAGTCTCCTTTTGTATGCAACTAAGAAGAATATTGCCGTAATTTGGATCTCAAATATCCCCCAATTGGAGGTTTATTCCCCAGGAAGATGCTGTTGGGAGGTGGTTAACTTTTAAGAGACAGGGCCTAGTAGGAAAGTCCTCAAGGATGTCCCAAAGCAAAATAGGGACTCCAGACTCTTCTTAGTTCTCTCTTTGGCTTCCAGCCATGAGTGCCCTGCTCTATGCGCTCCTGCTGTTATGGTGCTGTCTTGCCACAAGCCCAAAGCCACAGGCCCAGCCAGTCATGGACTGTAATCTCCAAAACCCATGTATGTTTCACCTTATAAGTGATTGTCTCAGATACTTGTTAAAGTGACAGAAAGCAGACTCACCTACCTACCTGAACATCACTCTGTGTGAAAGCACCCAACAGTGCCCACCACAGGCCATGTGCTCAGAAGGTCCTCACTATGTTGGTTTCAGAGTCCCTCTGCTTACCATGCTAGGTTTCTCGTAGGATTGCCATGGATTGGAAACTGGCCCCCAACCAAATTCAGTTGTTTTTTTTTAATTCTAACTATATGTTAGGAACAAGGGATAAACAGTAAGCCCAGACTAACTCTCATGCAGCTCATATCTGGATAGGAAGACATCACAGATCTCAAGAAAGTAAAGTAGTATCAGACTCTGCAGGAGGGTGTAAGGTTAGTCTATTGGGAAAACACACCACCTGGTGGTTAAGACCGTCGGCTTAGAATCAGATGTCAATTTCCAAATCTCCCTGGCTGTGTGACCTTGGGCAATCATCTTCTCCAAGTTCCTTTTCTCATATATACATTGGGGATCAAAAAATATATCCACTGTAGGACTCTGTGAGGAGTTAAAGCGAGGATTCACATGGAATGCCTACTTTGCCTGGTGCCCGGTAAGGGCCCAGGCATGAACTCAGTATTTGTTGCCTTCAATGGACCCTATTCCAAAAACAACCTCTCCCACTCCAGTGAGGGCATCACGGCAGACTCTGGAGGGCTTTTTTTAGTAGTCATGCTCTTTTACTATGGGGACTGACCTCCTAAAGCTAGAGGAACTAGTTGAACTCCTCCATGATCAAGGAAGGTCAAGATGCAAATATCAAACAAACACTCCAAAGCCTTTATTTTTGACCCTTTCAGCCCTACTCCCAGGACCCTCAGCTCACTCCTATTTTCAAGATTCAATATGTTGCATTGATTTTAATTACAGACAGAAATCCACATTCATTAAAACCTGGAGGTGCAGGGCTACAGGTGCGGGGAGCCAGTCGGTCAGTTCACCGAGCCTTTGGAGTGCAAGGCCAGCAAGAGTTCAGCCTGGGCTTTGGCTTCACTAAGGCACAAGATGTAAACATAGCACACAGGTTGGGGGTTCATAGGGAAGCTCTGCACCCACCTGGAGACTGAGGCTCAAATCTTCCCTCTTTCTAGTAAACTGGCTCCTAACTTTTCTTTGTAATGGTTCTTGCAACAGCTCCCATATTCTTGAAGCTAGAAGAAAAGGAGGAGTATCTCCAGCTGCTCCGATTTAGTAGATGCCTCTGGCTAAATGTAAGAGGACTGAAGGCAGCACCCTTAGCTGGATGTGGAGCAGCCCCAGCATGGTGTTTCCTGGGGTAAACAGCTAACTCATTAGTGGAACCAGGGACTCCATGGCAAACTGGTCATTGGCCAAAATGCACCCATGCCAAGTCTGTGCTCCGACTCTGTCACTGAGATACAGAGCTAATCCCACTGGCCAAGTCTCCAAGTCTGCAGCCCAGAAATTACCCAGAAGAGCCCTTTATACCTGTTTGGGCATAAGAGTAAACCCCCCAAATGAGCCCCTGGTTTCCAGACAGCTTGTGACTATCTTCTGCCAACTCCCGACTTTTCTCCTCATGCTTCTTTCCACCTCTCCAAATCATATGTTGGTTGACTCCTTGAAAAAAAAATAAAAAGGTATTCTGTGGGAGACCAACCTCGCACATGACTGAGTTAACTCCCCTGCTGGGCGATGTGACATCAAGCACCCATGCCCTCTGCTGAATTCCAGCTTGGTTCTAGTCAGATCACTTGCAAGAGAGAGTGCCTTTGCTGTCTCTGTCCAGAGTAGAGCCAAACAGGACATCCGATTTGGTCAGCAGAGCTTGGCTGTGGCACATCTTTGGTTGTGAGTTCTAAAATTATTGCCTGTCTCTGTCTTAGTACTGGCTCCTTGGGACAGTCATAGTGAGGGAAGAGGTGGCAATGGAGGGGACTGGATGGACACCGATACACTGACCACCAGGCTGGAGTCCTCGGAGAACAGGCTAGTTGAAATTGTTTCCTGAGACATCAGGTGTCTTTCACAGTAAGGTCAGCTGAGGTCCGGCTTCTGTCTCCGAGAGGAAATGGCAAAAGCAACACTGGTTGGATAGCTGTCAGCTCTGGATGGGGTGGCTGACAGACTGGTTTCGGGAAGCCAGCTCTATCTCATTCTTGGGTTAAGGAATGGCGATTCAGTCTCAGAAGGAGAACTGGTACAAAGGATTTCCCGAGGGCTAATATCTCAGGAAAGCTCTTAGATTGTGACATTCAACGGGTCAAATTCTCTCTTCTTCCCAAATACCAGAGATGGCACCAAAGGAACCAGTGGAAAGGGAGGCCCCGGGGGGACCTGCTGGCTCCAATGTAAACTAAGATATTTGGTCACTGAGGCTGTTTCCAGGAATTTCTGGAAATTTCCACCTCTTCTTGGGTGGAAAATTTTCTCCTAGAAACAGTGATGAGGTATAAGTTAACATCTCAAGGAAAAACAGTCCATTGGCAACAGCTGCACCAAAAAATGAGCAGGTTTTGAAATCAAGAGGTCAGGTTGCACCATTGGGCTCATCCTCTCACTCGTGTAGTCTGAGCTTTAAGAATGGATTATAAATACTTTGGGCTTCTCCACTGGTGACGGAGTGCCGGCAAGCTCTATATTGTCCACAAGGACATTCTTATCTTCCAGTCTAATAACCCTGGGCTCCGGGGCAGGCGATGGGGGCGTAGGGTTTCTGTGCGTGCGGGGCAAATTGGCCCAGCTGACTTCCAAGTCTTTGAAAGCGTGGAGCATGAACACACCCAAGATGATGGTGGCAAAGCCAGAGAGGGTGCCCACGATGTCCACGGCAGACATGCTGTACCACTCCTTGAAGAGGATGACCGAGGAGGTCACCACCACCGTGGTGAAGAACACGTAGTAGATGGGGAACACCAGGGAGGTGTTGAAGATGTCCAGGGCCCTGTTGAGGAAGTTGACCTGAGTGCTGAGGGACAGAGCCAGGACGAGGGACAGGATGTAGGGGAGGGGGTGCCGGACGACGGGCAACCCCTGGAAGAAGTTCTTGACGGTGATGCCCAGACCCTTGACGGCAGTCACCGAGAAGGCTCCGATCACGGAGCAGATGGTGATGTAGATGAGGATGTTCCTTTGCCCATAACGCGGGGCGACGATGAAGATGAGGATGAGGCAGGACACCAGCAGAAGCACAGCAAACACGATGAACCCTGTGGGAAGGCGGTATTAGGTCACCCCAGCTGTGAAGGATGCGGACAGCAACTAGGGCCCCAGGGGAGGTGGCTCTTGAGTCAGACAAATATGGGTTCCAGTCCCAGCTTCAAACCTTTCAATGACTTGGGTTAGTTATTAAACCCCCAAGACCCCAGTTTCCTCGTGTATAGAAACAGACCAACCATAGGATCTTCCTGGTAGGGTTTTGTGAGATTCAGTGTGACAATGCATATGAAGCATTCAGGACAGTGTCTTGCACAAAAGATACGGTAAGTGGTGTCCACACACACCAGGCTAGGCAGCCACAAGCTCGCCTTGCTAACATGCACCAGCCTGCTTTAGCTTGCCTTCTCCTGCAGGGGTGGACCTGAGACGGTCAGCAGTCAATGGGAACTTCCTCAGGGCTCAGCCCTGGTGTTTGCTGCTCTCTTGTGCTGGAAGCCTACCTGTGTCTTTTAGCTTGGAAGCCATCTCCACCACGGTATTGACCTTCTCTTCCTCAGGGGCGTGTATCACCATCACTGTGCTGCCGGCCACGCAGATCACACAGCCCAGCTTCCCCAGCAGGTTCAGACGCTCTCCCAGGAAATAGGAGGAGAGGATGGCACTGCATGCCGAGGTGGGAGAAAGGGGTTAGTACAGCCCAAAGAGACAGAGGGGCTGAGTTCGTGGACAGCAATAGATTAGAGCTCTAATCTACTGCTCTGACAAAGTGAAAGCTTTGCTAGACCTCCCCCAAATGATCAAAACAGAAACTCATTTCTAGGAGGAGGAAAAGAAGGGAAAGTGGATTTCTTTCATTTTTGAGACAGAAATCATTTGCAAACTGAAGGGTTGGAAAAGCTTTTGTCTTTCTATCGAGTGGACATATCCCTTGTAGGATTGCTGTGAAAAGCCTTTCAGTCATGTCTTGTATACCTCTGGTAGCAGGGAGCTCATCCTTTTTACAAGCAAAATGAGCTCATTGTAGGTTTATTCTAGTTATCCATCACAAATAGACCTTCTGGAAACTTCTACTCCTTGATTCATTTCTGTTCCTTGGGTCATGGAGAACAAATCATTTGTATATGTTGCTATGAATGACCATAATGACAATTCTAGATATAGTGTCTTGATCATATTTTCCCTACTAAGTTCTGTTCTAGGAAATTTACATTTATTATCTCTAAATATCACTAATATCTCACAATTCTTTGTGAAGTAAAAGATACTGTCCCTATTTTATAGATGAGAAAAAATGAGCCTCATAGAAGTAAAATTGGTAAGTCAGTGGAGTCAGGATTTGCGCTCAAGTTCTGTCTCATAACCTCTACACCTCAGTGAAGAGGATCCCTGAGTCTTCACTTTCCTGGATAAAATACTTCCAGTTCCTTGCTCTTCCTTGGTGACATAATTCTATTCTCCTCTCATCCTCTAGATGAGACAGCAGAGGTGAAGGAAAAGGGAATCAGTCAAGCTGGGTCTGATCATTGGAGCTTTTTTTTAAAAAATGAAGGTGGCATTAGTGTAGGGTCCTATCTGTTGGCTGTCCTGCGACCCCATTAAGTCTCAAAAAATTTTGGTGCAAAGTGGTCAGGAAAGTGGATACTGATGTTTAAGTTCCTTTGTCTGTCTCCTATCTCTTCTCTAAAAATGCCCCCAAACACTTAATTAAAATGTCTTGTTCAAAAAAGTCTGGTGGCATTTGCATAGGCAAAGGTCACACAATGCAGGATTACATGCTTCTCCCAACTTCCTGGGAGTGGGGATTTGTAAACCTATCAGATATGCAATAGAGAGGTATCAGCGCTTCATCAGCTAAAATCAGCTGGGCTAGTCCTACAGTGTGAGTCATGGTCATATTTGTTTTCTGACTGTGTAAATGTTGCAAAATTGTCATCAAGATGGTGAAACAAAACAGAGGAAACTATGGGAACTGGGTGTGGAAGGCTGGGATTTACCAGGTTTCCAAGGTTAGCCCCCACATCAAGAACCCATTCAAATGAAGTGTTGGCACTGTCGCAGAGGAACTGGCTCTATATGTAGCTCAAGAGGAGTGGGGGTGGTGGAAACACACCCTTTTAGTATCAGTTATTTTATTTTAGTAATTAGTTAATTTTCATGGTGGTGGGGACCAAACCTAGGGCCCTGGGCATGCTGGGCAAGCGCTCTGTCACTGAGCTCATCTCCAGATTAGCCTCCGTTATTTCCGAAATGATCAATCATTTGTGGAGTGTTTATTGAGAGGCAACATAGCATAGCAGCTAAGCACCCAGTCTCTGGTATAAGACAGCCTGGGTTGGAATCCTGGGCCGGCCACTTGGAACCTGGTTACCTCGGCCAAGTTGCTTCACCTCTCTTAGCCTCAGGTTGTGAGGAGTGAATAAGTTAGTCTAAGGAACATATGGAGCACATAGTGAGTCCTCAGTGTAAGATGGCTGTGGTTATTCTTTGGTGCCAGTGCTGTACTAAACACTTCCTGTGCAGTGTCACATTTAGTCCCCAGAATGGGGCCTCCAGGTAGGTACTACTAGCATTATCGTTTTGCAGGAGGGAAACTGAGGCTGAGAGGGATGGAGTGACTTGCCCAGGATAACAGAATTACTAAGTGTTCAAGTGAGGATTAAAACTCAGATAGTGTTAATCTGGGGCTTGTGCTCTTAATTTGCATGCTTCTCTTGGAGCGCCAGATATTCACATGAGAAGGCTGATGCCTACTGTCTGTGGGAGCCCCTACAACTGATTTGGGCTTGGCCTGCCCTTTAACCACCCATTAGTGGAGGAGATGCCAAGGCCAGTGGCCACAAACAATTCAAGGGTTTGGAGCTTCAAACAGCACACTGCCTCTTTCTAGGGGCTGGGACCAAGCCAGGACCCTGAATGCAGTGGATCCCACCAGGTAATTCCAGGTGTCAAGAAACTGAAACCATGAAAGAGTTGAAGATGGCTAGAGAGATGACAATAACCTTATGAGGACGCTCAGGGATCCCAGCGGTGTGACAACTGTTGCAGGTGCAAATGCATAGGCCCCAAAGTTGGCAACTTCTCCAGCAGCCACTAGGAAAGGAAGGGAAGAAAAAGACAAGGGTGACTTCAAGGAATCATCTCCATTCCAGATGACTCTGGGTGGAGATGGCTTCTTTCAGGCTCCAATCATCCCTAAAACCCAGACCAGCATTCCTTAACAAGACCATGCATGCTCAGGAGATCCTTATGCTCTTTCCTTGACTATCCTGACCAAATCCTTCCATTTTAAAGATGGCGAGGCTGAGGTCTAGCTACATGCAGTACTTGTGAATAGAAACCTCCTCCTTTTCTTCTTCTTCTCCTCCTCTTCCTCCCTCTTGGTTTCTATCCAGACACAGTTTAGTCTGTCTCAGGGACTGCCCATATTTTGGACTATATCTTTAAGGTAAGTTCTAGACAATGTTAATTATCAAAGCAGTAGTTGAATTTATTGATTCTCTGGGTACCAGTGGTCCTTGGAGCCCTCTTTCCCAGGAGAACTGTGGACAGGCAGGTTTTTAGAAAAGCTTGACATCCCAAAGAGCTTAAATTCTCCCCTTCTAAGTTCTCAAATTGCAAATGCCCGTGTTTTTTCCATCTCTTTGCTGGGGAGACAGCTGCCTGGCTCTCCTCTTTGGAATTAGATGGTCATGGTCACTGCAATAGCTCTGGCTAGGACAAAGATCAAAACTGACTTAGGAGATTATAAATAAAAGGTGTTAGTGGAAACTCAAAAGAATTAGGGTTTGAGAGCCAGAGAGGGTGATGGAAAATGGAGGAAATGTGCGAGTGTGCACACCGCAAGTGTCAGACACAGTCATGGTCTAAATGGGCCAACAGATGAATTGTCCAGGGAGAGGGGAAGTTCTCCTGGGAGCCCAGCTTCTACCATGGAGAAGTCTAAGAGTCCACTATCAAGAGGCAGTGAGTCTATCTCCTTATATTTCAAGGAAAGTTGAGAAAATACATCTGTATCCTTATCAGCTCTGTACAAACCTCTCTTGGGGGGGTAGATGCTTCATGGATTAAAACTGATGTTAAGCTGAGAAAACCATCAGAGATAAGAGTAAGATATCAAAGTTTTCATGACTCACTCTAGGAATCTGGCCTTAGGTTCATACTTTCTATAATAGAAACAGAAATGCCCTTTCACCCCTCCCTTCATCTCCATCCCTTCTATCAATAGACTGCTCTTATGAGTAGCAAGAGAATCCACTTACTGGTGAGAAATCCAGCCCACCACATCAAGTCCTTCAGGTAGCCATAGCCCCCGTCCACTGTAGAAGGAAATGGACACCAAGTTAAACGTGGCCAAACTTTCTCAGGCTCTTTTCCTGATGCTGCCTTCACTCTGTGTGCCCCGAGGGTTTAGTTCTAGGACCTCTCTTGGGTGGTTCCATCCAATCTCAAAGTGGTAAATACCATCTATCTATGGTGCCCACTTCATATCTGTGGCTTAGACCTTTCTTCTGGGCCCAGATCCATATCCAACGGTTTCCCTGACATCTCACAGGCATCTCAATCTCCGTTCCTATAAGGTTGATTTTAAATGCCCTGCCTACCTGTCAAATGAAACCCCTGGGGTAAATGGCACCTCCACGTACTTGGTTGCTTAATCCAGAAGCCAGGGAATTGCTCTTGACCCTTCTCTCTCCTCCTCCTTCCGACTTTGTCTCACACATGTCCATCTGACTCCCTCCATCCAACTCAAAGCCACTATCACCTCTGGTCTAGGCTGAGACAATGACAGGTGACAACTCTGATTCTACACTTGTCCTTTTAATAATCTATTCCTTTCATGGCAACCAGTGGTCTTTTATAATTAAATCTCTCTTTATAGCTGGCCAATGGCTTCCAATTACTCTCAGGATAAAGATTAGAATCCTTAACAAGACCATGCATAGTCTTGGCCCCGCTCACCTCGCCAAGCACACCTCCTGCCACTCTTCTCCTTTCTTTTAGTTCTTCAAAAATCATCAGCTCTTTCCTCCCTCAAGGCCTTTGCATATAATTTTCCCTGTATCTAGAGTTCACTTCCTGCTGATGTTTGCCTAAATCCACATGCATCCTGCAGATCTCTGAATGTTGATACCCCGATCTCCTCAAAACTTCCCCTTTGGATTCTCTTTTATAACACCACCTCTTCTCCCTCATGGCATGTGTCATGTAAAAATTCGGTTGATTTGTGAATTTTCTGGCATTTCCCCCACTAAAATGGAAACTCTATAAAGTTAGGAATTGAGACTGCTTTGTTAAGGACCCAACACATGGTCATTCTCAAAAATATCAGTGATGGTGATGATGATGATGAATGGATGGGCCTTTACCAGTTCTGTGAAAAACCAAAAATCATGTTTCTTTTTTGGAATGCTTCTATTCTTGAATAAGGAGAACATCTTTTGCTTTCATCCATTTCTAGAAGTGGTCAGGACGTCATCTAAATGCTAAAAACTCTGAGAACATTTTATTCTAAGAGTCAACATTTCAGAAGACACTGGAATAGCACATTGGAGGGAACAAGGGATTCTGGGGAAGTTGTCTTTCTGAGTGGTCGGTGATACTTCCCCTGCTCTGCCCTGAGCATAAGCAGACATTTCTCTGGCACTTGCACTTGGGAGGTAACTGTCTTCAAAACACTTGACCAGAAGTGAAAAACAGAGTAACAATGGCCACTGCTTCCAACGTCCACCTGCACGTCACAGTTCTTTGTTTTGGAGCACATGCAGGCTCTGCCAGCGTCTCCTTAGATAACAGCAATACCAATACTACTGTGTCAAGCATCTTTCTAAACAAGTTACAGGTGAAGCATCCCTAATCCTAAAATACAAAATCCCAAATGCTCCCCAAATCTGAAACTTTTAGGGGGGTGCTGATGATGCCACAAGTGGGAAATATCACACACAAAAAAACTGTTTCATGCACAAAATTATTAAACACAATGTATACAATTACCTTCCGTCCGACTATGCATATAAGGTATGAATTTTGTGTTTGCACTTGAATCTCATCTCTAAGGTATTTTATTATGCCAATGCAAGTATTCCAAATCTGAAAAAAGCCTGAAATTCCTAGCACTTCTGGTTCCAAGCATTCTAGATAAGAGTCAACCTGTATATGTCTTCTGAGTAGCCCTTTAGGCTCGCAATTATTCTTATGCCCCTTTTATAGATGATGAAATTGAGGCATAGAAAAAAAATATGTTCCTTGCCCAGGATTTCATCACCAGAAATCCAGGAGCCAGAACTGGAACCCTGGTAGTCTACTTCCCCAGTGCAATGTCCTGCAGAAGTCTTTATTGAACATGTCCAAACTTGAATACATTCTCCATCTTCTCTCCTCATGTTAGAAAAGGGCACCATTGGCTCCCCACACTGCTCAAGTCACAAGCCTGAGTCGTCTTTGACTTTTTTTGTACCTGCGCCTGTAGCCAGCAAACATCAAAGCTAGTGAGTTCTGCCTCCTAAAACAAACTCCAGAATCCACTGCTTGTCTCCATCCCCAGTACCATTTCAAGACCCAAGGCTGTCCTCTTGCTTATCTAACTGGTCTCCCCACCTCCAGTCTTGTGCCCTAATCTGTTCTCTACCCAGCAGCCAGGGACCTTTTCAACATAAATCAGACTGTGTCACTTCTCTGCCTAAAGCCTCTCAGTCACATAGCAATTGCGTTCATACTCTGCAGCCCAGCTTACAAGACTATTCACGTGCTGGCCCTCCTCTTTCCCCCTTACCTGAACTACTCTCAGTTTCTAGGATCACTCATATTCTCTCACCTCTGAGCTTTTGCACACGCTGTTCCTTCTACCTGAAATATCATGTCTTCCTCCTCTTTTCCTTTTCTGTCTCCTTATGACTTGGGTCTCAGCTGGAAGATTGACTTTTCTAGAAAACCTTCCCAATGCCTACCCTCCAAGTCTGAACTTCACTGATGATTTAACACAGGGCTTTTGGGGAGGAGCAGTAGAGATTTTCTCAATAATCATTTCATGGACACACATTCTATTTTCCAAATAAGCAAGTCCCTTGTGAAAAGAGACTCAATAATTGTGTTGTAGTCCATAGAAAGCTCAACTGGACAGTAAGTGAGGGCACACCAGAGTCTGACCTTGTGGTGGGCAGGGGCCTTTGTACTACCATTTGATGGAAGATGTGGCTTGTCTGGGGTGACACAGTTGCTAAGAAGCAAAGACAGGACTATCGAAGGCTGGAGTATCTGAATCTTGATCCTGAGAATTTCCCTATCTTTACATCAATGCCCACATCACAAGGAAATGCTGGATTATAAAGGGGGAGTCTCCTGTTGGTGGCTGAGACTCTCAACAGGGTTGAGAATTTAGTGCCCATCTTCACCATATTCTCATACTTAAGCCCTGATCTCTGTGAGGGGAAGTCAGCTATGGGCTCAGATGCCCTATGCCCCACTTATCCTCTCCTGCCCCAAGGACCTTACCAGCCCGAGTGGCCCCTGTGGCCACAAGTCGCAGGAGGCCTTTCTTCTTGAGGATGACACTGCTGCCGATGAGGAAGCTGGACACAAAGGTCAGGCCCAGGCCAATGTAGAAGCCATAGTTCTTTCTGATCCTCTCCTGCCAACTGTCAAAGGTGGCATTGTTAGGCACCTCATGGCTGAGGCCACCGACGATCTGACACAGGACTTCTTGGGAGGAGCAGTAGAGACTGATCAGGGAACCTGGATGGGAAGACCAGTGAGACTCATGTTGGGGACATGTGTGCACTTGACATGTGGCCACTATTCCAGGGCTCCCCTCACACACTGGGCCCGAACCAAAAATAATAGCGATGGTGTGTTAAAAAGTCACCTGGCTAAGGGCCTTATTTGCATGAACACATCATAGTTCTACAGCTACCTGTCAAATAAATGATGCCTTCAGTTCCCATTTCACAGATATGGAAATAAAGGCAATGAGAGGTCATACCACTTGCTTAAGGACACACAGAAAGTCAGACTGCAGAACTACAATGTATGGTACTGATGCCCTAAACACTAGGCAGTGTCCCCCAAGTTCACAGGCATCATTAAGTTCAACTCCCTGCCCTCCACCAGAATCCCCTCTCAGCCCTTTGGACATGTGGGCCTCCAATAGCTTATGATCCCACACAGGGGTCTATTTACTTTCATGCTCCTAAGCTCCAGCTGCAATGGGGGACTGGTCATAGACAGCATGAGGGAGTGGGGCCAGATAAGCCCCTTTTAGCCTGCAATGATGAGCTTCCTGTTTGTGGGAACTGACCATTCTCAGGCCTTGCTTCTGTCACTTCTGTGGCTGGGACTTTCTTTGGTCCACTCAAGGACCTGTGTCTTTGCCACCCCAACTGTTTTGTTCTCTAAGTCCCAGAGTCCCTGAGTGTCTGAATTTGCCCTTGTGGCCCAGAGTCAGTTCAACCTTGACTCCCAACGGGCACAGACACTAATGACATCAAGGACAGGCCTGGGCACAAGGGTCAGATCTCAGTGAAAAATTAAGCTACAGAAGTTCAGTAAAACAGAACAAAGAACATTCAACACTCCTACATGGTACCATCCACATGGTCCTCTGTTCTGGAGTTTTCCATGAAGATTCCTAACAACCAATAAACAGGCATGGTAATGATTTCCAGGTTTTTAGTCAAAGAGACTGATTTTGGTATTCTTCCTAAAGCTATATATATAGGTAGTAAACGGTGAACCTAAAATTAAAATCCAAGTGCATTTGATGCCAAAGCCCATGATCACAATCACACACCACAGCCACCCCGGTAAAGCAGGTTGAAAGTGGGGAAGTAGATCCCAATTGGTATTGCTTATTTATTTTAAAATATGAATCTGTAAACTGGCATAGTGGTACGTGCCTATAATCCCAGCTACTCTGGAGGTTGAGGCAGGAGGATAGCAAGTTCAAGGCCAGCCTGGGCAACTTAGCAAGACCTCAGCAACTTAATGAGACCCTGCCTCAAAACAACGAAATGGGCTGGTGATGTAGCTCAGTGGTAAAGCACTGAGTGCTTTAAAGTGGTAAAGTGGGTTCAATATCCAAAAAAAAAAAAAAGGAGCTCTCCCCTGAAGATTCATATTTGGGGCTTCATTTGAAAGTCAGAAGAGCTACCTCACTGGGCATAACATCCCATGAGGCAACAACCATCTGTCCCTAGCAGCATTGACATCTTAGGACATGCTCTGTGCAACTCCTCAGGGTCTACCTGGCTCCCTTCAGCCACTTTTGTTATGAGCTTAGCCTCTTAGGCATTTGAGTTGGTGATCTCTAGAGGTAGAAGGGCCTTTTCAGGCTGCATAACAGATAAGCCCAGGTTCCAATGCCAAGGATGTAAGCCTGGACCAGGCACTTCTCCCACCATACTAGAACTCCCAGTCAAAGGCCAGGAAGCTCCAGCTTTGGCACATTTGTAGCAGAGTGGCACCTTTTGGAATAAAATAAAGGTAATGTTGACCTTCCTCCATGGCACAGAACCACTGACAATAGGTCCAGAATCCTCCAAAAACAGTGTCTCATCCTGTTACTTTCATCTGGGGAAACTGAGTCCCACCAAGGTAGGAGACTTACTTGAGTCATGCAAACACTTGGTAGTAGAGTTGGGTTTGGAACCCACTAGGAGAGACCTGTCTTTCCAACACCTGTGTCACAACCTAGGGAAGATGAGACAGGAAGCCATCATCGCAGTCCCTGATCAGACTGGTTCTGCATTGCTCACGCCTGTTCCTCCAGTTTAGTCCTCCTTGCCCAAGAGCTGAATCTGGGGAGTTCCCTGAGTCCCCGGAAATGAGCCAGAGCTTGGGAGGAGGTGGGCCAAGGAAGGCAACTCCTGTGAGCAAGGCCAAGCCCATTCCCCTCCCTTCCCCAGCTCCCTGAAGGTGCATCTCTAGTGGTGGAGCCAAAGGACTCTGTGGACCTGGCTGTCACTGCAAGACCTGCAGCACCTACAGGCTCAGGACCCTCTGTTGAGGGTCAAATTTTCCCACTATGGCGAAAATCAAGAGAAGGCTGATAGCCAAAGGAAATCCAATTCTGGAGAAGTGCTCATCTGAAAAATGGATGTTGGAATAAATGATTCTAGCCTCTTCTTCCAGAATATTCTTGTACCAGGGAACATATTTTCCCTTAGGATAAGAGGTGAGGCTGAAAATAGCTGCCTGGTCACTCAGGAAACCAAAGTCAGCCAACACTCAACAGGCTGGCTTTGAAAACTTCAGGTAAGAAGGGCAGAAGTGAGAGAAATGGGGGTACCCCACCACCTGCAATTCCAAGATGAGGTGGGAAAGTGGAGTCTGAACAAGAAAGGAGCTGAGCACAGTCATACCGTATAAGTTTTAGGATCCAAGAGCCCTATTTCGTAGTCCATTTCCCCATTGTACTACCTTGAGCAAACACCTTTTTGGGGCCTCAGTTTCTATATTTCCAAAATAGGGACAGTAAAAGAGTAACACTACCTACCTGATGGAGTTGTTTCAAGGATTAAATGAGAGAGTTCAGGGAAGGGCTTAGTCCACTACCTGATTCCTGCTAAGAAATTCACATGAAGCCAAGCATCTTTCCTTAGTCCGGCCTGAGGTTATCCCCCACTGAAGAAAAGTGTATGTGGGTTTGGGGCTGGAGAGTCTTTGTGGTCCTCTCCCCTGTCTTGGGCCACAGACAGATCGTGGCAAGTACTAAAATCTGCAATAACCACACACTAACCCTGAGCTGCGCTGCACCCCGTCCCCCACCAGTAGCCCCAATACGTTCAGTTTCCTTCCTTTCCTCCCTTTCTTGCTTGGCTACCTCAGCTGCGAAGGTGGACATCTCGTCTTAGTCACCAAGGCGAGTCTGAGAACTGGTGGGGGTCAGCTCCTACTGACCCTCCCCTTTCCTTCCTTTGGTTCCAGTGGCAGGGGATGAGATGAGGCGACAGGAGCTAGGATGCAAAGAGCGGAGCCCGCCCTGTCCCCAGCCCTGCAGCACGCACCGTTCTCACAGCTGGCGTTGCCGGCCCGCAGCTCCATGGGGCCCTGGGCTGACAGACCCACGCGCCGGCGACGGCGCTCCAGGCTCCTCCGCTCCGGAGCAGGTGGCTGCGACTCGTCCCAGCGTCCCAGCTTAGCTCCGGAGAAGCCGGCGGGATCGGTACCCAGGGGTAGGGAGGATGACGTGCCCCAGAGGGGAGGGTCCCCGAGGAGGAGTCACTCAAACCCTTGGGCAACTCCGGGCGCTGGGGGCCCAGCACTCCCGCCGTCGAAGAGGGGCGCATGCCCTCCTGGGGTGCGGACCGGGCCGGGCTCCCAGAGGCAAAGTCACCGCCCAGTGTCAGTGGCAGGAGGCGAGGGGGGCGTGTCCGCGGGATCCGCCTCTCCTGACAACTGCGCTGGCATCCACTTCCCCCAGTGACAGAGTGGATGCTCCCCAGGATGGCCAGAGAAGTGGCACATTTCCCGCAGAGGGGAAGTGACAACATGAGAGTTGGAAGGACCAAAGGATTCTGAGAACCTGGTTCCTTTCCTCCTTCTCCCTTTTTCCCTTGACTTATTCATTCATTCATGGTAGAGATCTGACCTGAGTTGGGTGCCAGCAGATAGCAGGAACACAATAAGTGCCCAATAAATGTACTAATCTGTTTGTCGAGTGAAAGAAGGAGAGGAGGTTGGTAAACTGAATCAAAGGAGGAAATGAAGTGATTGGAGACTAAAATTAGCCCTTGTCCCCAGAAACCTTATGTATTGATGGGAGAACAAAATGGGATCAGTTATTTAGAAACCAATACATAAAAATTTGCCATTTAAAAATTGTATACGTGTGTGTGTGTGTGTGTGTGTGTGTGTGTGTGTGTATTCCTGTGGGTAATAGTAAAAAGTTTAAAACACTCTACTGGTAAAACTGCTTGCTATAGGTCAGGCAGAGTTTTAAGTGCTAAAAAATACAAGTCCGTTTAATCCTTATGATAACCCTACAAGGGACATGCCTTTGTCATTTGCAGAAAGTAAAGTAGAGCATGGGAGACTTGTCCTGGGTCCCCGCTGGGAAATGGAAGTGTCAGGATCAAAGGCTACACTTAGCTGCCTGGCATTTCAACTGTAATAACTCCTGCTCCGGGGCAGTGAAGGTGTGGGGCTGCTAAGAAAGCAGGGGTCAGTTCTGGAAGTGTTGGTCTCCAGCTTCCTGGAGGAGGTGGCCTTTAAGTATTATTGAACCATTCTACAGGTAGAGCCTCCTTCTGGGTATTATCTCCATGTGAAGAGCCAGGCGAGAACAAAGCTACTTGGTCCCCAGTCTATTGTCTCCACTGTCATTGTCCTCCTCTCTCCTGCGTGTTCTTCTAGCTGGGCCTTCAGGATGGGTTCTCCGAACATGTGACTTCTAACTTTCTGGATGACTTTAACTCACTTTTCATGAGGATCAACTTCCTTATCTGTCAAATAACACATCTCTTTTTGGCCCTTCCCCAGGTATAGTAAAGTCCCAGGCACTGCCAACAGAACACATCCAGTACTGTGGGTCATTTATGCAAGCACACCCCAAGGGGTGTGGAGCCAGAATTCAAATGGAGGTAAATACCTTTAAGACCAGTATGAACTGAACACAGAGCTGCAAAAAGCCTGGATAAATTGGCTTCAGTGGGAAAAGTCACTTTATTATGGAAGAACTCGAGCACTGTGCAACCTGAGAGGGAGGATTTGACAAGAGAATTTATCTTTTCTCTTACCTAAGCATTCCTGCAGCACAAATCCTCCTGTGCTATGAATCAGTGTCCATTCTGATACAGCAACGGTACAGCCTTCAAACTGTCACGGCACCCAGACTCGATTGCAATTGTTTTTTTGTTCCAAGGACATAGGACAATCAATACACTGAGAGTGTTTCCCTCTGGCTGTGTTTTCCCCAGCTTTGTTGAGGTATTGTTGATGATTACTAATTACATATATTTAAGACATGATGCAATGATTTGATATAGGCATACATTTTGATACGATTAGCATAATCAAGCTAATTGATACATCTACCTGCCTTACATAGTTAGCCATGTATGTGTGTTTGTCAGGGGGAATGTTTGTGTGATGAGAACACTTAGGCTCTAGCAGCCTCTCTGAATAGCTGGGCCTTTTTAAATCACGAGAAAGGATTCTTAGGATTGTAGTTGCCAGAGATGTACTCAGAACCCGAGATACAGGTACACTTAAGTATTCTTTGACACATTTGTTTTGATATGTGTTTGAGATTTGAAGAGACACTAAATTTAGGGTCCTGGCTAGGACTCCTTTTGCCTGGGGTTAAGGGCTACATGGAACTCATCCTATGCTTTGAGAAAGGTTTTTTAGTCTCAGATGAATTTCATATTTGGGGCAGTGGTAGAAGGTTGAGGACACTGGGATCTAGTGCAGGGCCTTCCACACCCTTTCTGGGCCTCAGGCTCCCCATCTGCTCCAGGAGGGGGCTGGGCCTGCCCAGGCTGGCATTGGGGCTCTGACCAGAGCAGACATAAAGGGCCCCATTGAACCGCAGACTCCTCGGCTGCTGTCCTGACAAAGCCCTTTTCTCCTTGAACCACAATTGGCTCTGTCAGGCAGGTAGCAGGGCTGCAGCATTGTCTCTAAGAAAGGAACAACAGGGCTTACTGTCTGTCCCAGGCTCAGTCTCCCTGGGGAGGACCAATGGCTTTGGAAGGGTCTGACCAGTCAGGGACAGATGGGTTCGTCCTTAGCCCGCCCAAAGGTCTATTGGATAACTCTTTAGGATGAGCAGGAAAACAATTTACCAAAACCCAAGTTCCAAATTGTTCTGGGTTACAGAGCTGCACCATCTGATAGGGTAGCCACCAGTCATATATGGCTACTGAGGACTTGATAAGCCACTAATCCAAATGGGGATGTGCCTTAAGTGAAGCAGGTTCTCATAACATTTTGGAGCATTTAATCGTTTGATGTAGGGGTTTGGCATGGGCATTGTAGGATGTTCACATCATTCCTACGTAGTTCTCACCTTCTTGTTGCCGGGAACATTCACATATACCTCTACTGTCTCCCTCCAGGTTTTCAAGATCAAAATCACCCCAGATAACTGCCAAAATTGCCCTGGGTTGAAAAAACACCCAGGTTTCAAAGATTTAGTAAGAAAAAAAAATAATTTAAAGTATCTCAGTGACTTTTAAATATTCATTACATGTTGAAATGAGACTATTTTTGACACACTGAGTCAGGTAAAATAGGTTATTAATTTACTTACTACTTTTTTTTTAACTTTTCATACAATGGTTACTATTGAAAAATGCCTATGTGTCCTGCATTATGTTTCCATGGAATAATGTCATTATAGAGGAAGAAACTAAGAGCCAGAGATGGAAAGTAACCAGTAGAAAGTCACAGACACTTAGGATCAGGGTCCCAGTCTGGTTTCCAGACCAGCACCCCAGACCAGTCCAGACCAATTCCATTACTCCACACAGCTTCAGAGCTGAAAGGACACCCCAAAATGAGTGTGTTGGGTGTTTCCATTATGGCATAGTCAAAAAATAATGAAGTAGGAGCCGAGACATGAGGCATGTAGGTGGGTATTTATTGAGAGCCTGCCGTCCATCATGTACATGCTCATGCAATCTTTGCAACAACTCTGGGAAGCAGATTCTGTTATTATCTCCATTCTCCAGATGAGGAAGTAGAAGTCCATTCAGGATCCTCAGTCTGCAGGCCAAGAAGCCAAGAATCAAACCCAGACACTGTTCCATCCTAAACACTCTAGGAACTCTCTGTGGAGCTTGGGGAGGTCACTGCCCCTTTCTCCCTTGGCTGAGAGGACTGGGCAAGAAAGAGTCGCCAGTCTTTTCCTGCTCTGCAGAACTGGTCTTCTGGACAGGGTGGGGAAAGACAGATGGTGTCACCTTCTTCAGGCTGTTGGGGAATCGTGGGAATCTAGATCATTGGTATGCAGAGCCTGCCCACACTTTTCCAGGTGTGTCCTCAGAATGGCTGCTGTCCTCATAAAGAACTCTATTGTCATCAGAAAGGATGGTTGGAATGAGCACATGTGCATTTGGCCTAGCTCTGAGAACCATGCCCAGTGGTGGGCTCCATGTGAAACTGGTATCGGTAATGATGATTAACACAGTGCTCTATTGCTGAGATCTTCCTCTGTGGGCTAAACACTTTGCATACATTAACTCGTGGGCTCATTACAATCTCGGTACTATTTGAAGTTGCACTTTACAGAAGAAGGAATTGGAGCTCAGAGAGATGAAGTGACTTTCCCAAGGTCACATACAGTGACAGACACAGATCCTCAGTTGGCTGGTGCATCCCTACAGCAGTTCTCTTAGCTACAGCATTGGTTTGGTAAGACCAGAGCTTTGTTTCTGAGACCCTTCCTAGTCTTCCTCTGTGTGGGGTAACTGGGAAGATTGGGGCCATCCAGAAACCACTGGGGGTGCCTTACAATCTTCTCAGCCATCCTCATTTAAAGTCCTACAAGGGCTTACCTAATCCAACCGTCTTGGTTTGCAGATGGAGAAACTGAGGCACAGAGCAGGGCAGAAAGGACTAATATGAGGCAAAATCATAAATTTTTTTTAGCTCATGTTTTAAAGAATGAGCCAGTGCACTAAAATTTCATATGCATCATCCCATTTAATTCTAATAAGCTTGTGAATTGGGTGCCGCTATTATTTCCATTTTAGAGATGAGAAAACTGAGGCTCAGGGAGGTGAAGTAACTTGACTGCAATTAAAGAGTGGAACTATGATGAAACCCAGCAGATTAATTCTAGAGCCAATTTCTTGGCCACTCTTCTCAAGTTAATCACTTTACACTTAGGGTAACATCTTCCTTCAGGACAGTTTCAAATTACTGCAGAGGGCAGAGCTTACTCTGAGGCATGCATGTGGAAGTGTAGCATTGGTTGGCCTTGAAGTGGGTGTGCAGAGAGCCTACTACGCTTAAATCATGAATAAGAACTTCAGATCTTATCAAAATCCAACTGCAGCGAATAAATAATACCAATGTGAACTATTACTGGTTGCACAACTTCTAGGTTGCAGGTTTTGTTTGTTTGTTTGTTTTATGTGTATTACCTCTAATCTTTATAATAATCCCATGTTAGGCTAACCTCACTGTAGGTGAACTTCACAGTGACTTCATGAAGTTACCCTAATTCTACAGCTGATAACAATGAGACTTATAAGGTCAAGTGCCTGTCTCCAGATCACATAGATGATAAGTAGCTAAGTAAGGATTTAGAAGGTTCTCAAAGTGCCTGCTGCTCCATCATCCTGGCTCCCTACTGTTTGCTCCTTTGAGTCAC